GGAGTGAAGTTTAATGAATTGTACTCTGGTCAAATCTCAATCCCTAAGTCTGATACGGGCTTTGTGCATTTCAGTTGCTGTCAACGTCAGCTTCGTACAGAATACCGAGTTGAAACTGTGTCAATGAGATACGTGCAGAAAAATACACACATTCGTTAAGATTTAGAGACACAAATGTGCCCCACTTAAATTAAGTTTTTCCTGCATATCAGCCAAGTGACACAAAATTGGAGGAAAAGGAAGATACATGTATGTCTTCTCATTTCTTGTCACAGTGGCTGAAATCTAATGGACAATCCGTGTATCGCGGCGTTTTGCCATAAATTATAACGTTTTCTTTATTGCGTAACACGCAACTGTCGAGTCGCAGTTGAACAAGTTTTCATTGATGCAGCTCGAGTCAGTATCGCACCTACGCTGTTTACGCTCCCGTAGCGCGGATCTTACTAACGTAAACAAACGTACGTACCACCGCGTATACGAATGTCGGCTGCCTGAACCTCGGCTGATATACGTACCTTTCGGTCGAGTCTGGCGCTAGCAATTACTGTACACTCGGTGCGAAACGCAAAGGATGAATATCCTCGGGCACATGGTCACACGAGAAGGCGTCGCGAGGGCTACCTCGAGGAGGTCTGACGTCCGCGGGCGGCCATCTGTGTTTACACACCGGCCGTGGCAACCAGAGAGACGCCCGCGCGTGGATACCGCGATCACATGCCACATGGGACCCGTCCACTGGCGCCTCCACGCACGCGAAACGCACCGCGTTCAACTACGTGGGCCGCAGGATATTTCTGGCCGATAACGCCCTGGATAGCCGAGATTCTGTTTCGCGTCAGGTTCTGCGCACAATACAGGGATTATATTAGGAATAAATATTAAATTTATGTCGTCAAAGTCAATTTGGCTATTCGCATGGTTTTTGACCAATCGATTTTCAACTTTTCTATCAGAGCAGAATGTTCGTATACGTTTCTTCTTCGAATGATTTCGAGAATCGGGCCCCTGTACGGAAATTCTGTAACTTGCTATCGAGGTTTTTCGATAACGTTAACTGGGAACAACCAATGAAAATCTGGGTCTCTTTCGAAGATCGTCCTCGCCATTGGCTGTCGCTAGTTAACGATACCGAAAATCATCGATTGCAAGTTACAGAATTCCCGTAATGGTCTGAAGTCAATTCGACCACTGATTAAGTTCAAAGGGACACGGTTAAAAATGTAAAAAGAGCATCGATATGCTCACGTTTTAATAGAAATAAAACGAATTTTTTATTTAAACTAATTTTGTCTTATCGTACGCTGGCACGTATAAACGAAGTTATAAAATTGTACATGATATTGTATATAATAAAATAAATTGTAATAAATTGTAATCGGATATGATTTTTTCCTGTCCTACTTTCATGGAATATAATATTGTTATTGTAAATATCTCGACAGAACTTGGAATTATTATAACCAAATTACATTTGCTTAAAAACAATCGATTACATTTCCAAGCCCATCGATTTTAATCAACGCTCTTCTTTTCTTTACTTGCGTTTCTTCTGTTTTGTATTTGTATTTATATTCCTTGTTTTTTTTTACTTTTTGTTCTATTATTATCCATACAATTATTTCACATCGAAATGCATTTCTAATCTTACCCAGTAGTGGTCTTAATTAATCGAAGCTTCGCAACTTCGAAGCTTCGAAGTATCCGAAGAAACGAAGAAACTTCGAATATCGAATTTTCGAAGTTTCGAAGTTTCGAAGTCAACTAATGCATTAAAATATGAGCTTTCAAAGACCAACCTAATTTATCATCTGTATTTATCATCTGTATCAGGCAGTAAAAAGAAATAGTTAATAAGATAAAATGTTAATGATAGAAAATTTATTTCCTTTGAATTAATTGTATTTTTATGAGCGAATGGACAAAAATGTGTCCGACAAAAAGTACATTTGTTTTTTTTATACTTGTAATGATATTAATTAGTTGGCATTTAATTAGTTCACAGTTATAGTAAAAACGATTAATCTTGCAAAAATGTGTTATTGTTTTTATCTTGTTAATACATTAGTTGACTTCGAATATTCGAAACTTCGAAACTTCGAAAAATTCGAAAACTTCAATTCTCGAATAATTTCTACGAAGCTTCGAAGCTTTGAAATTGAAAATCTTCGAAGAAAAATTTCAGCTCTATTACCCAGTAAAGTAATAATAGTTGAAAAGATTTTGAATCAATGTCGAATCGACGTTAAATGCATCGACGTCGATTTGATGTTGATCTCGGCGATCATTTTTTTCGATCAATTATTTCTCACTGCGTATCTGTATATTTCATTTAATTTATTTTTGTTCGCTCTTATCTTTTTATTTTCTATCCTTGTTACTTTACTACTGTCTTTTCATTAGTAAGACAAACTTATTATTGACAGCATCAGATATCAGAGAAGAATATGTATCGAAAGTAATAAGATCTTTTCTTATAACACGTTAACTTTCATGACTCGACTTTTATAGCTGTCGTCGTCGAGTCTCGTGCCAAAAGCACTGCTTTCAAGAATCTGGGTCAAATTCAATAAAACCTGGGATTAATTTTGGCTCTGCTTCGTATCTCACAGTCTTACGATCCGCATGGTAACATAGAATTTTCGCAATTTCTCTTCTGAAAAATGTAAAATTATCAGTGTGAAAATAATGTGTCTTATTGTTTAAATACACTGAAGAAAAAAATTTTCGCTATCGCAGCTGATCATAATTTGCTAAAAAATATCTTGCCGCATCAACTATAAATTTCTAAACCACGGCAAATGGCTTGCTGTCGCACCTAATGCAATAGGCACATTAGCAAAATAGCTATCATAACTAAATATATTAGCTATCCAGATGTTACAACTAAAATGTAGTTACCACGTGCAGTTTTTAGCTACGGTAGCTACATTTCTCTTCCGTGTAATAGCACAACATTGTCTGTGTACAGACAATTCGCAAGTAGAGTCGATCTGTTACAGAGAGAATACAGTTACTTCGAAGTCGTTGCATTGGAAAATAATAGTTCCGTGAGGTACAGACTTGTCAAAGGTTTGTCGTTGATTCTTTTTTCTTTTATTAAAGATAGACACAGAAAAGTGTTTTATCAAAGAGATAAAAGTGCAAGAATGAGTCTTGAGCCGCAGCACGAAGGTACGTCTGTGTGCACGTGACAATATTTATATACAAGAATATCAAGACTCACTTCTTGCACTTTTATCTCTTTGATAAAACATTTTCCGTGTCTATCTCTAATAAAAGAAAAAATCAACAACGACCACCCTTTGATAACTTTGTACCTCGCGAGGCCATTATTTTTCAATGCAACGATTTCAAAGCAGCTGCGTCTTCTCGGTAACAGTCTGGTCTTAGATCGACTCTACTTGCGAATAAAATTTTCAACATCTCTTTTGTAGAATCCACGAAGACAATACTTTCAGTGTATGACTGTTCCCCTTTTTCTATAATTACGCAACTTCCATAAGATAATCTCGCGACTATACAGCGTGCAGGTTTTGGTTTTTGCGGCATGAACACGCGAGCCGTAAATATGCATTTTCGATTTCGCGACAATCAAACGGAATTCTCAAGAGGAGACCGACGCAATCCCCGTGATGAATGAATTTCTTTTGTAATACCAGCAGCGAGAGATAAGAAACAGAATGGATGATATCGATCAATTTTTCCAAGACTCGCATTATAATGTCATTCGAGTGCTATTAAGTATCAGCGGCCTATGGCCTTTTCACCCGCGAAACAGGCGCTACGCAATATATCTCGCTGCGGTATTAATACTCGGATCTGGATTCATATTTGAGGTAAGTTTAATAAAGAAGAATGCGCGTATTATTTTAAACTACTATTACATACACAAACTATTGTAGCTCTTCCATTATTGCGCTATTTTCCAAAGAGATGTATGGGAATTAAATAATACTGTTCCGTCAAAAATATTTATAGTATCCCTGGTGGAGATGTTTTACTGAAAATATGTACCGAAATTTAAATAAAAAATTATTTTTATTGAAAAGAAACACGGTTTTAGTTCAATTCAATAAATTTTACAATATCTCGTATTAAACAAGTTTTTTATTGTTTTTCAGTGGTATACTTAAATTTTCCTTATATTTCAGTATTACATTAAACATAAAGCAAATTATGATTCATTTTGAGATGCATTCAGTAATTTTTCCATAACTTTTATTTGATCTTTCATTGATTTCGTAATACTTTCAGCAAAATATTTTCATCAAGGATGCGTATAAAAATTCACATTTGTTTTTAAATAATTTACCTAATGGAAAAATAACATTTGTAAAATGTTCATTAAAATTTTTGAGAAACATTTTTTTAATCATTTTAAAAAACATAAAAATAACGGGCTAACTCCCTTTTCATTCATTTAAAAAACGTTTATTTTAACATTTAAAAAATATCAATGTGACGATGTAATCGAACAGTTCGGCAATCGGACTCGGTGACAATCGGACATAATAAAAATCGAAGACAGTGACCATCGCAAAAGTTATCGAGAAAATCGAACGCGTCTTTTTCAATTTTATGCGAGAATTCTATATTAGAAAGTGGTAAAACATTTTGAAGAATATTATCGTGATTACCATGTGTCCTTGGTGTGTTTTAACGACGAACGGGTAACACTTTGTTCACGTGAAGTCATTGTCCAGAGAAAGTCGCTACGGACAGGCAGCTCAGAATTGTTCGATACGCGATTTTCGACGCATCCTTTCTTTTTCTGGAAACAAATTGTCAAAAATTGCGTAATTAATGAAAGAAAGAGAAAATGATGAAACGTTGAAAATTTCGGTTAGCTTGTTAAAAGATCGAGGACTTGAGGATGTTTGATATCTCTAATTAATGTTAAATAAATATTTAATGATTAGTTAATAAATAATTTTTGTACAATAAATTTTACAATGTATAATTTATGAAAAATTAATGTTAAGGAAACATTTTAAAAACATTGTTTACTGATTGGAAATTGTGCTTGTATAAATAATATAACGTGCATATTAAATAAACGTTACTTAAATATTTTATCTACATTTTTATATTAAATGTACAATTGATGTTAAATCAATATTTAATAATCATTTAATAAATATTACTGTTGTAG